CCCTCCGCCCCACCCTAAATGCGATTGGAGGAATAGGGAGTCGGCCGAAACGAGAGGGGATGGGTTTGTTTAAACCTCTATCCCACCATGAAAATGAGCTTTGGATCCTTTTATATGACAAAAACTAGGGGATTAGTTATTAGCAGCAGTGGGAGGCAAAGTTGCTTTGTTACTTATACCATTAGGAACTGCATCATTAAGGTCTCAAGGCTATCAGGCGGCTTACGACGTCAAAACCAAAAAAAATCGTGACCTGGGTAAAGGCCAATGCCTAGGCACCAAAAAGTTTAGTGCTAAGGTGCCAAAAATTTTGTTGTCAAGGCGCCACCTGGGTGGCGCCATGGCGTCGCGCTCTCAGGAAAAATAAGGTTTTTGAACTGTTTGAGCGCTTTGACGCCCCTCGCTTTCCGGCGCCAAGGTGCAGGACTTGTGCTAAATTTTTTAATCAGGTGTTAGACCTCCGGAGGCTCATATTAGATGATCTGAAAAGTTTTTTTTTCGTGCATGGGCCGCCGGGTCGACCTTGGGGCGCCAGTCTAGCCTGAAACCCTGATTTTTGTCGGGAGCACCCAACGAAGCATTCTTTTGATCCATAAGTTATGAGAGGCTCCTTTTGAATGAAATGCAGTTCCATAACTCTGGAATGGAGTATTTTGACCGTCCATATGCTAGGGAGATCACCACTAGCGGTCATCCTAAGCCACGACGTAGGAAGGGTGTCCTTAACCCTAATTTTCTTGAAGCTCACGTAGGTGGACTCAGTGACTTTCCATGGTCGTGGGAGGCTTGAGATGAGTGTACGCTGAATTCTAATCATAATATTAGGCAACAAGCACGTCTCACATCTCGGATGGGCCTCCCGGAGGGAATTTTCCTAGGCAGGGCTGAATCACCACTAAACCTACCTACTTGCCCAGAACAAGTGTCAGACAGTCCCAGGTGGGTGTCATGAGTTACCCGATGCTAAGGATGAAGCGTAGATCTTCTTGAGCCATGTAGGTGGACACCTTACACTAATGACATAAAAAAATGATGCCAACAACAAAATTGATGTTCAATGGTATCTCACCGATAATAGTCATAACGGGCCACAAAAGCTATGATCAATTGCTATAATGGCAGTAGTCCACTATAAGTGTTGTAGAAGGTGGTTGTATCGTGGCTTTGTTGTAATGGTCATAGTTGAAAGTTATGGTAGTGGTTGGCCATGTAGGCTATTGATGGTTGCTTTAAGAGCATTGGTTGAACACAAAGGTCGTAATAGGGAGCTGCAGAAGCTGTGAGTCTTGTAGGCCTTAGTTGGTCGCATATGTCATAATGGTGAGCCGCGATAACGTTCGTATGTCGTAGTTGGTCACATAAGTCATAACAGAGTTGTGATAACGTCTATAGGCCACATATGCCAAAGTTGGGAGCTGCATAAACTGTGATAACGTCAGAAGGCCACAAAGGATGTAGTTGAGAGCCGCACAAGCTACAAAAACATCCGTTGGCATCTTAGGCGGAGTGGGAGTTGCTTGAGCTATGAACCACATAGGCCACAGTTGGTTATGAAAGTCGTGGTGGTGCACTACAATGAGAGAGAGCTTCAAAAATCTAGAGAAAGTCAACGTATCATGAGTATGACTGTTGTAAGTAGTTATTATGGTATGTGTTGTTACACCATCTTCGGGATTCATCGTTGTACCGTATGTGCCACCGATCACCAGACTTTGCCATCAACTAGTAAAGGTTGTAGTTGACCCCCAACTATAGCTACGTACTATTAAATGTTTTAGAGATCATCATCGACCATCCAAGATCATTATTAACCACATTTGATGACTTCCATGACTCAATTATTATTCCTAGATCGCTATTGCTTGATCTTTACTGCATAATCTCATATTTTTCACTCAAAGAAAAATGTGCCACTTTATAACTAAAATTACATGGTTGACTAATTCAGAGACTATTATTTTTTTCTTTTTCGTGTGACCAAAAATTGATTTCTTCGCCAACTTTTTGCTTGTATTATGAATTACTAAAATATTAAATTATTTTTATAATCCCGAAATTTTTCTAACCCATAATAATAAAAATATTATATTTACACATAAAGTTAACTTTAATCATCAATATATTAATAACAAATTTACTATAGAATAACTTGTGAGGACCATTTCTCCCTCCCTCGGTCTCTCTCTCACTCCTACTTCCGCTTAATGTATAACCATTTGTTGATTTCGCTCTGCTTCTCATTCTAGCATTTTGTTTTTTTTCTAATTCTCTTTCATCTCTGTCCTGAATCAGAGAAAGGCAGAGCTTCACTTGATTGGGTAAAGAGAGCACGAAGAAGCTCGATCTCAGACAGCATGTAGATGAAGAAAATAATCTGTTTTCTTCCTCTTGCTCTTTTTCTCTCTTTCATAAAATCGGAAGTTAACGCTCGGTGCCTCCACGCATCAAATCCTTCACATAAATACTGACAATAATGCCTTCACAATATTGCCCCCCAGGAAAATTGCTTGCATCCAGTAATGTCTTGAATTTTTTCTTGTTTTGTGCTATGACAGTTGTTTGATTTAAGCTTACTTTTATCGCCGACTTGTATATAAATAATAGAGGGAGGTGAAAGGAAGATGGAGCAGATGTTAGAGAGGAAGGAGAGAGATTTCGTTTGCCCTTACGCGTCCAATCCCTACCATGATTGCGCTGAATTCTGTGAAAAGTTTCCAGAGAAGCTTCAGGATGAGGGAAAAAAACCAGGTTTGATTTGTTCTTTCTTTGCTTGCTTTATCAAAATCGTGTTTTGGGTTCTTTGGAAATCCCAAGGAATTCGATTAATTTTATATGAACAATACCATGAATATGGGAAAATCATATTTCAATTGAAAGGTTAACGCTTGAGCCAAGTTTGTGCTCTATTTTGAGCCATTTTAACGCTGATCAAAGTTGGTTTTTTTGAAAATTGCAATCTTTTGATTTATGCTCTCACAAACTCTGCTCCTTAGCAACCTGCACCGAATCGAGGTAAGTAAAATAAAATAAAATGAGGCTGCGTCAGTCAATTGCCCCCTAATTGTTGCAAAAGCTATTTTGCATATGAAAGCATCTCTTCTTGAAAATTCATCACTTCCGACACTGTTGATACCTGACCTTTCTTTGATTTTCTGTAAAATTCTGGAACAAGTTTATTGATGGTTTGCTATATCCAGCGCAATACAAGGGAATGAAGAAGTTACAGAAAGACGGTGCGACGCCGACCACCATAAAGGCACTCAAGTCTTTCAACTCTTGTGCTGGAAACTTTTTTTCGATCAACCCTGCATCATATCAAGGTAAGAAAAAAAAATCAGTTACAGCTTCTTTCTACTTTTCTGCTTATATTATTTATCCTTATTAGATGTTTCTTATTAGCTGTGATACTTAGATTTTGCTTTATCTTGAAAGCAGAGCCATTCATTAGTGAAACCCCTTAGTGTTACACTTTTGCAATTATGTATACCTGTGTTTAGGGTTGAACATATAAGGTGTTGTATGCACTATGGAAATATATTAATTTGTCAGAGTTCTTATAAATGTAAAGTTACTAATATATTTTATAATTTCAGTTGGAATTGTGTTTAGTGAAGAAAACATGAACATAACCAATGAAAAACATGCATCCTACCTTTTGCTTCACCATTTCTTAGTGTGAGAGAGATGGAGAATAAACGAGCAAAAATAAGAAGGCCTTTGCCATTCGTTAATTTTACAGCAACGAGGTCTAAGAAAATGTGGATCATGGCGGATAGGAGCGATGTGCATCCATACTGTGAAAATGCATCCAATCCTTACCACAATTGTGCTGAATATTGCTTCCATAATGTCCCTAATAGGGACCAGCTTGGTCAAGGTAGGCCACTTGTTGCACCTGTACATTTTTTCTGATGATAATTTATTCAATGCATTATTGTAGTAATTAAGCTAAACTGTCTAGATGGAGACAAGGCATTTAGTGTTAGATGCAGAACCAGACAACACAATCAGTGCTTATATGAAATTTTTTTTTCATAAATACTGAAGATTAAATCCCGTGTAAAATGCATCAAAGCGGATACCAAGATTATGCTAAATTCTGCTTCCAAATTGTTTTTCATAATTTATTTATTAAATAAGATAGCTTAACATATCAATGCATAATTTCATCTATGATGATGGCAAAAGAAGAAAAGGGAGTTGTTTCCATTCTGCAAAGAGAAACGAATTCATGCCGTGAAAACATGTCAGATTCATATATTGAATATAACATCGAAGATGTTCCTGAGAAGGAACAGCCTGGGCTAGGTACCTCATATGGCTTTTTTTTTTTCTTCAAAATTTAGTATTGTTTATAGTCTGAGAACACTATTTCAGTGGTCACAAATTCCAAGGAAGAAAAGAAAATAGATCTCACCGCAGAGAGATGGGTGAATCCTAATTGCCAATTTGCATCAAATCCGTACCATACTTGCGCCGAATACTGCCTTCAAAATGACCCGGGCTGGGAAAGGCATGGACATGGTAAGTTTGCTTTCATTCTTCCAGATTCTCAAACTTGAATTATTGCTGTCATACTCTAACCAATATATTATTTTAGTCAAGAAGCTAAAAAGTTTAAGGAAAATAGTCAGCAATAAAGAAACAAGTGCGAACCTTCGGTGTAACTTCGCATCAAACCGATATCATGAATGTGGTGCAGAGTGTTTTCAAAATAAACTTGATCTAAGCAAAGCTAATGAAGGTTTGCTGTTAATGTTTTTTCTTTTTCTGTTTTTTTTCACCCCAAATTTATTATTTCATTTCCTGAAAATTAAATCTTTTTCAGCTAGCATGAAGTTAAAGAAAGAGAATAATTTAGTTGTCTTTGTACATACAGGAGTGGATCCTAAGTGCCAATTCGCATCAAATCCATACCATATATGTGCTGAATACTGCATTCAAAATGTCCCTGAGATGGAAAAGCATGGACGTGGTAAGCTTCTGCTCATTCTTCGAAATTATCCAATTGGATTAGGATTTTAAAATCTAATCAGTATATTATTTCAGCCATGAAGCTTAACAACCAACTGAAATTGAAGAAAACAGTCAGCAATATAGAGACAACAATTGTGCACCGTTGTTTTGCATCAAACTCAAATCATGCATGTAATGCATACTTTTTTGAAAATGATCTTGATCAGAACATAGTAGAAGGAGGTTAGCCACCAAACACACATTCTTTTTCTTATTCAAGAGAATTTCACATGGTATTCATCTGCAATTCTTCTTAAAACTATCAGCCTATCCTGCAGTTATTGCTGAGGAGAAGAAGAGGAATTCACCCAGTGAAAAGAGTTCTTATGTGAGCATGGAGAATAGCACCGTCAACTTGGAATTTTCAGAAGCATCTGAAGTACAGAGCGATTATGCTGAATTTTCTGAAGGAATAGCCGTGGAAGTTGTAACTAACGACCTGATTCCAGGTATTCTCCTGAATTTTTTTTTTCTTTTGTTTTTCAAAATATTTGTATTACATTCCACCATCTAATAATTTTGCAATTTTTAGTAGAAACAAAGATTGCAAGAGAGACTTCAGATGTGCAACTATTGCAATTAGATGCTTCTGATTTATTCCTTGAATGGGCTAAATATTGCTCCAAGGAGAAAATTGCTGAATTCAAAATTGTTAAGCAAGGCAAGGCGTGTTATTCATTCTTCTTGGCTGTTCCTTTATTTTGTACCTGTCTACTTAACAACCTTTCTGATCGCTGCTTTTTTCTTACAGTAGAAAGGAGAGCATGTGAAACAAAGAATGGCCAAGCTCATCTGAAATACTATGATTCATCAAATTTTAAAAAGGCTGAAGCTCAAGGGAGCTTGCCACTTTCTATCTCCACCTCAATACTCTTTCTTCTTGGGTTTCTCTTTGCTCTTTTCAGATGGACACAAATGATTCACTCCTTATGCCTTCAGAAAGGAAGAAGGGTGATGCATAAAAGACATTGAATCCAATTGAAGAATTTTATTTAATCCAAAGCTTTTGAGAATGTTTCCAAGGAATGTAATAAGAAATGCATTTGATAATGGGGGAACATGTATGATTGTGTTTTTCTATGATTATCTCACTTGTAGGTGCTGAATTTCTTCTTTTTTTATACTTTCTTGTTGGATTGATGTTGTTTTAAGCAATTTGGCATAGATGTTGAGCCTAAAACTCTAAGGTTGAGAAGTAATTTTCCTGGGGCAAAAGTTTTTAGTTACCATAAATGTTATTTTCTTAAAGAATTTTAGCAATACATGTATTAAGATGAGTTGACATAGTGATCGAAATGAATATATTATAAATTTCATAACTTCATGATATTTTATCATAATCATAAATGTTCTATTCGTAGATAAAAAAAATATGTTGCGTAATAGCTACAATAGTTTCTCAGTTCTCTCCATTCAACAACTAGATAGACTCACCTATGATTAATAGGATCATCCATTGCCTGACATATGTTCTCACTTATTCCAATTTTATCTGATATCCGTTATTCCTTTTTTTCTCTTCCATTTTTCAATATCATCATCGCTCGATGATTTTCATCGTATGATATTCATCATCATGAAGAATCTGATATCCTTGATGTATATCATATCTCTACATCCATCATTGCTAGATGTTTTTTGTTACAAAATGTCTATTAGCATCCAACATCCTAACATAAACTAGCAACTATCTTAAGCCAATTATCTATCAACATCTTCTCGCAACTAATAAAATTACCTATAAGCATCCAATGCCCATAATCAATCAATACACATTGTTGACAGCTCCTATTATTGCAACATTCATTATTAGGTGATACTTGTATGCTATTATTTGTTCAATTAGTCCAATTTTTATATCTGAGTAAAAGCAGATTAAGATTTGAAGAGAGGTGGTCAATTGGTCGAGTAATTGACACATTTAAACTTCTTTTTTAGTCCCTCAAATAAATAATCCTCACAACAAGCATAATCTTCGAGAAGTTAATTTAATAATTAAGTTCAAACTAAATACAAACAAATGTAAATGATGCAGAATATTAAGTTGAACAAATAAAAGTCATAATTATTAAAGCCCATAAAAGTGTCAAAATAAATGTTCAATGTAGATGTTTCATAGAAGCATTATTAAAAAATATTTATAAATTTATTTTTAATATTTAAATTATTGATTTAAAATTTAAAGTTTGAATTTTCATTTTGGGAAACTCATAGGGTGGCTAATTAATGAATTTTGGTAGATAAAATAAATAAATAATGGTCATTGGCACTCTTCTCATTAATGATTATCACTTGTATATTAAATCAGTTTTTTAAAATTTTTAAAATTAACATAATCATATTTAATTATAGCTTTAAGTCTAACTATTAGGTTGATTTATATTAAACTTGGAGGACAAATAAAAATACATATGGCCTATAAACTTGGAGCAAATGGTTGTAGGATAATCTTAAGTCCTGGGTTAAAAAAAGACAAATGTCTATTTAAATTTTCCTAAGAAAATATATTCAAAGCTTATGGATTTGGCATATTTATATGGGTTATTCACAAAAGAGTGATCCTAAAAGTTTTATGTTAAACAAAAGGGTCATTACTTATTTAATTAAGTTATATTAGTATAGAGACTAGAATCAAGCCCTTTAAAAGAAGTCCATTTGCAAGGTTTAAGCGAATGGTGGCTTTAAAAATTTTAAAATATTGTCCTAAAAAGAGGTATGAGGTTTAAAAACCTTTTAAACGGTTGTAGTAAACCCTCTATCCTGAGATAGAAGGCATTAGTCATAAAACAAATTAGGATTGCCTCGTTTTGGCCCTTGAGAATCTAAACCATCTTTAATGACCTTAAAGTTTTTCAAATAGGTTAAAAAATTCATAAAACATTAAATAAGGGTCCTAATAAACAAGAACATAAGGTATATGAAATTAGAAAGGATTAGAGGTTTGTCGTAATTTTTAAAATTATTCGAATCACTGAATTGATTTTAAAATTATTTCTTTAATATACTATTTTTTATAAATTTATAAGCTGAGAGATTCAATTTTTAAAAATTTTCTAATCATAGAAATGATTTTTTTTAACTTTATCAATTATTAATTAATTAAATTCCTCATAAGATTTTAAAAATTAATAAAGATAGAAAATGGATTCTAAATATTCTAAAATTCAAATTATAAGCCTTCGAAAGTACATCCCATATGGATTTCATAATTTTTTGGGATTTAATGAATTTCGAAATGCTTAGAAAAATAATAGCTCTCATAAAGTGAGCTCCAAATTAATTTAGATCAATTTTTAAAAAATTAATTTAATATATATATATCGATATATATATATATACATACATATATAATTTTAATTTTGAAAAAGGAAATTTTTAATTTTGAAAAAAAAAATGAGACCGAACAGATCTCATAAATTTAGTAATTTGAATAACTAAGTGCACTACTATAAGCGATACTTCATCTTGAAAGATAAGAATATTACTTGATAATAGACTCATTTTTTTAAACTAAGAAATTTATGATAATTTTTTGGTCTACAAAATTTCCAACACATTGTTTGCCTACATGATCTGAAGATTAGATAGATTTTAAATTATTTAGGTTACTAATTCTTCAATAGGTACAAGACCCTATAGTTAATTATAACTTAACCATTCAAAATCACCTTAAAAAACTCTCAATTGAGATTCGTGTTTTGTCTTCGAGAATTCAAAGTTTAGTTTTCATGATTGGTAATAGGAAAATCAAGTGGGAATGACTCAATGTGGAACAACTATTTTGAAATCCAAAGTTGTGAAAGTTAGAGGATGTCACAGATATCGAGAAGGCTTCAGTGAATTCTCAAGCTATCTTATGGTTTGACATTACACTTTTGAAGAGAAGTTATTAGATTTTTACTCTTGCCATTTTATTTAAAGATTAAGGATTACATTTGCATGACATACAAACATACAAATAACCTAAGAAGATGAGAGGGTTTACATTATACCAAACAACAACCTTGAGATACTAAAAAGAGTTAGGGATTATAGTGAGCGACATATAATCATGTGAATATCTAATGATAGTGTGAGAATTTATATTGAACTAGATGAACCACCTCAAAGTCCTAAGGGTGTATATTGTTTAGATCTATAGAAAGTTTAGTTGAGGATGATTCATCATTTTATTATTTTGGTCTTTATCATCTCTTGATGGTTGTCCACAGCTTGATCGCATCATCACCTTGTTCTATGAAAAGGGAGGGGAAAAGAGAAACCATGTGTCGAATGACCTATCCTATGCTCTTTGTTTTATTTTCATGATTTTTGGAAGGTGCATCTAGGTTGATAATTATTTCTATCCTTACTATTATTGTTTAACCAAAGAGTTATTGTGGGCAGTGTGTTACAGGGTTTCAAATTAAACATATGTCCTACATCCTCTATCCTAAAGCCTTTTTTCAATAAAGAAGAATAGCAATGTCCTGCATTTAAGTAGAATATATGTAACCAGGTGCAACAAAAGAGAGTAATATCACATACCTAATGCCTTTGATGTTACATTAGAAAATCATAATTTCATACATAAATATATATAATATTGAATATTTTGAATTTTAAATATGAAATATATTAAAACATAAGCATGCATGTTTGCATAAATCTTGGTTGTAGATATATGAAGGATCAGAGCTAGATCTAAGTATTCTTGAGTTAGCTCTCCGAAAGGTTTCCTTTTTTAATAAGCAGTCAAAAGCATAAGTGTGTGTATGGCAATTCTAGATGGAAACTAGTGGCAAGGCAGTCGAAGGAGGGGTTTGAGCAAGTATTTAAAGCTCAAACCCTTAAGCATTGGATGTAACTTTGGGTTAAGGTGTACCAGATTAATTTCATGGACTTCAATTTTTTATTTTTTTTTTTTTTAGAATCATCAATTTTTTTGGCTAACTTTCTTCAAAATCCACATTAAGTCCAAATGGCCTCCAAAATGCTTAGAACATTGTTGGGACATTAAAAATGGATTTCTAAACAATTCTGAAACTTTCTAAGTCATTTTAAGTTCATTTATATTTTCTATGAATTATTGAATTTTTCCAGCCAATTTTAATATATTAGATAATTTAAAATATTAATAATTCAAATTTTTTGTAATGTTTTTACCTCTTATGGTTTAATCAGCCTATGGATGAAGATTTTGCTCAATTTGGAGTTTTATGAAGAGAGTTATGTGTATGTTATCATGAGAGGTATAATTGCAAATATTTAATTTACCACTTAAATCTTCTTTATTTAAGCTACCAATAATTCTCTTAGGGTCCCCGTTCAATTAATTAACAATTAACTTCTATGAGCTAGCCTGTACAATTCATGTTCTTATCATTTAAGTGAAAGATACCCATAATAAAAAATACTTAGGGTATTTTTGTAACTTTAGAGGTGCTTGCATGCATGCCCCTAAACTAGGTTAAATATTAAAAATTTTAGAGTATTTAGTTGTTCATACCTTACTCAATTTCTTTTACTTTGAACCTTAATAATTTGGAATTTTCTATAGTTCATTATGAGATCTCTTAAGATCTTATGGGTAAATTTGCAATTTATGGGACGTCATTGATTTTCCCTTTATATGATCATAAAGTCCTTCCAACTCATGGTGGGGAGTGTAAATCAGTAATTTAGATATTTCCAATCTATATCCCCCATCACTTAGTCACTCAAGCATCTACATCTTCTAATCCTTAACAATTCAAGAATTTACATTTTTAAACTTTATATATTTTAAAAGACTTGATGGCTACCCACCCCTTGTGTATCAAGCATTTCAGTAAGCATTTGATCAAGATTTTCATCCATTTACCCTTTTATGTGACCCAATTTAGTTAATCAATGCAATTATAATATTTACAAATATACCCTTATGATAAAAACCTTGCTAACTATGCCACCATGGTTCCATTTGTTATTAAAGCTTATTATTCTTTCACCTATAAGTTGATTATTGTTTCACAGGTAAATTTATATTTATCTGAGGAGAATTTTATTTCCTTTAATTATTTAAATCAGAAATTACAAAATTAGAATTAAAACTTATTTAATTATTAAAAGTTTGTTCTCGGTTCTCCAAAGTTTTATAGAATATTGTTGAAACTGAGAAAGCCCATAAAATAAAATCTCATGTC